TAATAGATTATAAAAAGGAATAGGAATATGGTTTTTGTTAGGGTGGATATAATTTTGTCTAGTTTGGAGGATTTTAAAGACTGCCTTAAACAAAGTAACAGAACAAAACTGAAGATTTAAGCAAAGTAAAAGGGTTTATAAAGGGTTAATCTTGAAAAAAATTCTATGGGTATAAACAAGTAGGCTAAGATTTAAAAAAAAAAAAAAATAGCTCTTTCCACAGGTTAAAACATTAAAATAATACTGATATGGGCCAGAATCTGGGCCCGTGTATCCAAATAATAGGTTTTTCTTAAAAAACTGATCTGCTATTTGATGAAAAATCATAAAGGGTTCTAAAAAGTTTATGAAAATCTTACCTTATAGGCAAACTAATTAAAACTGAATAAAGATATAAAATTTTATTTTAAAAAACTAGCTTTAACACTGAAGACACCTAATGCAAGCATAAAATTTTGTTTTCTCTTTGGAAGACAATTTTTATGTAATATTAAAAAAATAATGAACGGGATTTATTTTCTCCTGTGGATAAATGGCAGAGGGGACAGGAAGAAGAAAAAAGAGACAAATTCAGTTAGTTTCATGTTATCTTTGTTGGGTCTTGTTTGGAAAGCAAAGTCTCCACTCTCAGAGTAAAGATTTTTCTTTTTAAGATTTTGAAATTATCATTTTGGTCCAATGACTTATGGTGACCTGAGATTCTATTTCATGATATCCAGTGTTTTAAACCTTTGATATTGACAAACTTTCCAAAATCAAATTATAAATTATAACTCTTTCTAGCCTAATCTTTTAAATATTAGGTCCTCTAAAACTCAAAAATAACATCTGGCTTATTTCATATAAAAATCATACGGGAAACATTGGCAAATAGAAAATAATGTTTAGCTTTCTTTGGGCTTTATTTGTATAAATGTATTATTGGCATATGTTCCAAAATTATGTAAAACTCCTTTAATTCTAATATGACTACTATAAGGACAAACATGCACACAAATGTTCATTGCAGCACTGTTTACAATAGCAAAGACCTGGAACCAACCCAAATGCCCATTGATGATAGACTGGACTGGGAAAATGTGGCACATATACACCATGGAATATTATGCAGCAATCAAAAATGATGAGTTTGTGTCCTTTGTAGGGACATGGATGAATCTGGAGAACATCATTCTCAGCAAACTAATATAAGAACAGAAAATGAAATACCACACATTCTCACTCATAGGCAGGTGATGAACAATGAGAACACATGGACACAGGGAAGGGAGCACTACACACTGGGATCTATTGGGGGGAATAGGGGAGGGACAGCGGGGGGGTGAGCTGGGGAGGGATAGCATGGGGAGAAATGCCAAATGTGGGTGAAGGGAAGGAAGGCAGCAAAACACACTGCCACATGTGTACCTATGCAACTATCTTGCATGTTCTGCACATGTACCCAAAAACCTAAAATGCAATTAAAAAAAATAATAAAAAATAAAATTAAAATAAAAAAAAAAGGAGGAGCAAAATAGAGGCAAGCCCAAGTGGGAGCATCTAAATGAAGATTTACATGTACTAATCACTGTGGAAGATGGTCAGAACAGAGCAAAAATCAAATTGAAGAGAGCTGTTGAAGAAGCAAAGAAGTGATTGGTACCTGCAGCAGAAGGAGAAGACAGCCTGAAGAAGATGTAGCTGATGGAGCTTGTAATTCTGAATGGCACCTACAGAGATGCCAACATTAAATCACCAACAGCCCAGGCTGCTCCAAGGATTATTACTGGGCCTGCGCCGGTTCTCCCACCAGCTGCCCTGCGTACTCCTATACCAGCTGGCCCTACCATAATGCCTTTGATCAGACAGATACATACCGCTGTCATGCCAAACGGAACTCCTCACCCAACTGCTGCAATAGTTCCTCCAGGACCCGAAGCTGGCTTAATCTATACACCCTATGAGTATCCTTACACATTGGCACCAGCTACATCAATCCTTGAGTATCCTATTGAACCTAGTGGTGTATTAGGTGCGGTGGCTACTAAAGTTCGAAGGCACGATATGCGTGTCCATCCTTACCAAAGGATTGTGACCGCTGACCAAGCCGCCACCAGCAACTAACCTATGACCTTCTGACCTCTGAACTCTTCACCCAATGATGACCTGACCATGCCTGCCTGCTGATCAGTTAACTGGTAATCGCCTTTGCTTGCCTGTCGTCAGTGCAGCAAGCTGAGGCACTTGTCAGTTCATCTTACCATCTAACCAAACAAAAGACAAAGAAATTGTTGTCCTCAAACTCAGCTTTTTTTTTTTTTTTTCCCTGTTTGGGTGAAAGTGGTTCTAGTAAAGCAATAAGGCCCAATTCATCCCACAGCACTGATCATTTTCTAATATCCCACCCTAAGCAAATGGTAAGAAGGCCTCTCTTAAGAAGGGGAGACAGATGGCCCTTAACTACTCAATGACAGAGGCAGTTTCTGTGAGAGACTTCTAGCAATCTTTTTCTTCTCATAGTGAAGTTAAAGCTCTCTCTGAAGGTACTGCCTGATGATGCATGAACCTTCAGTCAGGGATGTCATTGGTGAAGTGATTTCAAAAAGTATTCAAAATCTGATATGCTATTTAGTCACTACAGTGCCCTCCAAGGGCAGAAGCTGCAGTCTTTTTTATATTGCCTGCCAAAATTTGAAGTATTAGAGGAAAGAGTGCCATGAGAGGAGAAACTCAAGTTTTGAAAAGTAATGCAAATAACAAAACGGCAACACTATTTTTCAAAAGATAAATATCTGAGTTACAATTACTGAATCTTCATTTTACACCTTCTAAAAAAATATATAAGAACAAGGTACACGCATTATGTGTCACATTACTGGGCAAACTATTCAAGTATTTTTTTAAAAACATCCCTGTATAGAAAAAAATCATTAAAGATGTAAAAGCCATGCTTGCCTATGTATACATGTAATGGAATTGTAGATAAAGTGTAGTGCATTGAAACAAATGAACAAAAAGTGGATACTTTTACTATACAAGGGTGCTGGTGCAGAAGAAAATGTATTTTTGGAAATGTAGCATTTTATACTTTCAAGTGTTATTTAAAATAAAAAAGAAAAAGAACAAAGAAACCTTTTATTTTATTAAATGATTTTTTCTGGTGGTTGTCAAGAAACAAAAGACCAAAAGAGCCTTTATGTCTTTCTTTTTCATTTTTTTAAGTATTGGAATAAGTCTAAAGAAAAGAAAGTGCCTTATTTTCCTTCATGGTCATTTAGTCAAGTGTCTCATAAAGATAGCTCCTCCCTCAGAATACAAGTTAATGATGTTACTCAGTCACCCAGTATGTGAAAGAAGATATGAGGGAGACAAATGAGTTGATGGATCACAAGTCATATGATTTTTGCCATGTTACCTTGATGCCAAATCTGATACTGTGAAAAGATTTGATAATTTTTCTAATTCCTGACTAGCAAGTTTTAAAACATCATTCTTTAAAAAAATTATAATTGAATACTTTGGTTATTCCAATCTTCAATGATAACCCAAAGGACTCTGAGATAAAAATTATGTGTGACCTGAACTTCAGACCAAGTTAGAGCTTTGTTTTATTTGGAGAAGAAGGATGCATTCATTTTGTTTTGTTTTTTATTTCATTTTTAATTTAATTGGAGATAATAGGATCCCTAGCAAATGTTTTCACAAAAGCGACTCTTTGTGATTTTCATTCTGGAAAACAATGTTTTTAATAACCCAAATGTAACCACGTGTCTTTATATCATACCAGATAACTTGTGTAATGCATCTCTTTATGGTTTTAGTAACCTCTGCCTCCCCCGCCCTTTAAGTTTAAAAGAACGTGAAAAACTAGCATCGTAGTGCATATAATACTCAACCACATTTCAGCTTAAGCTTCTAATTTCTCCAGAAGTTCAAGCAGTTATGTAGTTCAAGCAATTTGTGCGCAAAGCCTACATCTAAACGCTTGAGTGTGAATAATCATTAACTGCTCAGTACCAGATGTGGCAAATCTCAAGTGATGGTGGACTTCCCTCCAGCTTACCAACTCATTCCCTCTTGCACACCTTCCCAGCGTCACAGTCAGAGGTCAGCAGGAAGCTTAGTCAGTACCTTCCTGGTGACCTCCCCCACCATCTTCTCTCACTTGGAAACCCTTGTCAGTTTATTTACTATGCCATAGACATTCATTGTTTTGTATCCAGCTAGCTTTGGTTTAATATGCCACTGCTTTGTCTTTCTGTTACACATACAGTTTTGATTTGTTTACAGTATATGCTGTGCCATGTAGATTTTTATATTGTTTAGTTGGTTGAATCAATTTGCGACACTCAAACACTTGAGGTGATAGTTATTAAAAACAATACCAGTATTTAATCCAGTTTCACCTCAACTATGTTATACCTGGACATTTTAGATGTTTATCAAAGGTCTTTTATGGGAAAGAAAGTAAATGTATGAAATAATAAATGTGTGACATTTACAGATAATGTTGGCTCTGAGCAAACTTTTGAAAACTTGATTAACAAAATTTTGGATCAACTGAAAAAACAGCATGACTTTTGAAATCTCTGAAGGCCTCAGTTCTCAGTATTATCATTCTTTATTGAATTTATTTTTTATTAAAATATGTAGTTTTTAAGACTTTTTTCTGACAGTATTATGTAATTTTTTAGCGTGGGTAGATGGGAGTGTCGCTTGTATGTTATCGTACAGCTGACATGTATTTTTGTCTATTCTTTATTATCTTAGCAGTTTCATGCTATGTATATACCATAACCAACCTATTGCCTATGAGAAGCATGTAAGATAATATATTTACAGCCATTGTCACAAGTTCATAATGTATTTTTCTATCTTGTTTTATATGTACGTTACATAACATTCAAGAAGAACTTTTTTCTTGATTGAGAGGATACAAAATGCAAAATCCACAATTTTGATAACTGAAAATTGCCAGTTGTTTTGCAGTACTTTATTATATTGGGTGTCTTGTTTTTCTGGGGCTTTTAGTTAGCTAATGAATGAATACATTAGACACTTTTGGGTTTTAGTTGGGATTTTACAAAGCTTACATTTTAATTCTTTGGTTCCTTGCTGTTTCTATTAACCCATAGCATTATTTTAATAAATGTTTATAATACCAACCTACTTTTTAAAAAAAAAGAATTTTATTACATAATGTTTGCCTACACTTCTTTTTCCAAAGCTGTATATATTCTTTCTTGGTTTTCACTAACACAATGTTGTCCTTCTGTCAAGCAACCAATACACGTAATAGTAAGTGAATAATTACAGAAGAGAAACATGAAAGTCTTCTTAAATGTGTGTATATAATCTGTCAGGGGATTAGAGAAAAAAATGTGTGTATAAATAATATAAATTCAAATACAGTAAAAGGTTGTGCTTTAACAGTTTACAACAATCATATCAGAAAATCCCCAAACAAAATATTGGTTCATGCAATAAATGGTTAGGAAGCAACTACTGACACTGTGGGGTTCTGTGCCAAGCCCTGTGACACTGTCAAGCCACGTTCTTCCTTTTGCCCTTCAGACTTGCATGCCTCACTTTTTACTTACACTTTGGAGTAAGTAAACACCACAAAGGTTTGATTAGCATACCAAACTTAATGTGTCCAAAGTAAATAAAACTCCAAATGTCTAACACAAAACTACTCTTCTCCCAATCTCCCCTATTAGTTAAAAACATCCCCAATCTTCCATTTCCTCAAGCCAAAACTTTGGAAGTATCCTTACCTCTGGCCTTCTCATTGTGTACCCAATATCTTGGCAAACTATAAGCAGCTCCACCTTTAAAAATTAAAGGTCTTCCCAGTTCCACAGCTAGCACCCTGGTCAAAACCATCACTGTCTCTATCCTGGAGAATAACAATATTAGCTTCTTTTCTTTCTTTTTTTTGAAATAGACTATCGCTTTGTTGTCCAGGCTGGAGTGCAGTGGTGCTATGCTGGCTCACTGTAACCTCCACCTCCCAAGTACAAGCAATTCTCCTACCTCAGCCTCCTGAGTAGCTGGGATTACAGAGGCATGCCACCAAACCTGGCTAATTTTTGTATTTTTGGTAGAGACAGTGTTTTACCATGTTGGCCAGGCTGGTCTTGAACTCTTGACCTCAGGTGATCTGCTGGCCTTGGCCTGCCAAGGTGCTGGGATTGTAGGCATGAGCCACTGCAGCCAGCCTACAGTACCTTCTTAACTGGACTGCTGCTCCCAATTTTGCCTCAGAATAGTGTATTTTTCCATAAAATGCATACATAATATATTCATGCTTACATTGAAATGAACAACCACCAAAAAAATTCCCCTTTTTTGAGATTCTCACACTGTCACTCAGGCTGGAGTGCAGTGGTGCCATCTTGGCACACTGCAATCTCCGCCTCCAAGGATCAAGCGATTCTCCTGCCTCAGCCTCTTGAGTCACTGGGATTACAGGAATGTGCCAGAAAAACTGCCTGGCTAATTTTTGCAGTTTTGTTAGAGACAGGGTTTTGCCATGTTGGTCAGGCTGGTCTTGAACTCCTGGCCTCAAGTGATCTTCCCACCTCAACCTCCCAAAGTGCTGAGATTACAGGCATGAGCCACTACACCCAGCCTAAAAGAAATCATAGGCCAGGTGTGGTGGCTCATGCTTGTAATCCCAGTACTTTAGGAGGCCAAGATGGGTGGATCACCTGAGGTCAAGAGTTTGAGACTAGCCTGACCAACATGGTGGAACGCTGTCTCTATAAAAAAAAAAAAATCACTTTGTCCTATGTGATAAAATGCTAAGCTTTTTCATACTTCTTTATATTTTCATATTATCTATAAAAAGATATGCAAAGCTTTGAATATTTTACTTATATCTATTACAAACACAGCACAAGAGACTTGTCCCGTTTTCCCTGTTTGTTAAATCAGGATAAGGATTCTGTGCAAACGACTGCTGAAGTACACACTCAGCTTACTCTTGGTAAATTTATGCCGTGGTTTTCTACTTCCTCTTCCCCGTCTTCTTTTTCTTATTTCATTATGACTGTCAATGGGAGAGCCTGAAAAATGTACAAACAAAGAGAAAAGCATTGGCAAATATTAGTGGTATCCAGAGTGGGGGGGGCGGTGAGAAAAGGTCAGTCATTGGCTATTTCATAAAATTTTTAAAAAGTGGAGCCCAATCTCATACCTATTCATTATAACAAAATTACTAATGAGATTAGCCAAGTGTAGTGGCTCAAGCCTGTAATCCCATTGACTTAGGAGGCTGAGATGGGAGGATTGTTTGAGGCCAGGAGTTCAAGATCAGCTTAGGCAACATAGCAAGATTCCAGCTCTAATAAAATAAAACTTAGCCAGGCACAGTGTTGGTAGGCTGAGATGAAAGGATTGTTTGAGTCCAGAAGTTCAAGGCTACAATAGGCCATAATTGTGCTACTGCACTCCAGCCTGGGCATCAGAGCAAGACCCTGTCTCAAAAGTATAAATAGGTAAAATAAAAATTTCAAAAAATTATCCAGGCCATGGGGGCACATGCCTGTTAACCTAGTTGTTTGGGAGGCTGAGGTGGGAGGATCATTTTAGAAAGCCCAGGAGGTCAAGGCGGCAGTGAGCCATGGTCGTGCCACTGCACTCCAGGCCTGGGTGACAGAGTGAGACCTTGTCTCAAAAAAAAAAAAAAAAAAAAACTTGTTTTTCATTAAGATACAAAGCTACCTGTGATCCTGGATTAGAACTGATATTGTTAAGATGTCTATACTACTCAAAGTCATCTACAGCTTTAGTGAAATCCCTATTTTTGAAACCCCAAAGGCATGTTTTGCAGAATAGAAAATTTCATCCTAAAATGTATATGGAATCTCAAGATATCCTAAATCGTCAAAACAATCTTTAAAACGAGGACAGAGTAACTTTTGATTCCAAAACTTACTACAAAGCTACAGTGAAACAGTGTGGTACTAGTGTATGTACAAGTGTGTATATATATTCTGTAGGTTATTTTCTTGAGGTTACCACTGCAATTACAGTGTGGTACTAGCACAAAGGCAGGCATATAGACCAGTGGGATAGAGTAGATAGCTCAGAAATAAATCCTCACAAACATGGTCACATGATTTACAAAGTGTCAAGACCATTCATGGGGGACAGGACAGCCTTTTCAACAACAGTGCTGGGAAAACTGGGTATCCAAGTGCAAAATAATCAAGTTGGATCCTAACCTTACACCATACACAAAAATTAACTTGAAATGGTTCAAAACCTAAATGCAGGAGCTAAAAGTATAAAATTGCTAAAAGAACTGAGCATGGTGAGTCATGCCTGTAATCCCAGCACTTTGGGAGGCTGAGGTGAGCAGATCATGAGGTAAAGAGATCGTGACCATTCTGGCCAACTGGCCAGGCTGGGTGTGGTGGCATGCACCCATAGTCCCAGCTACTTGGGAGGCTCAGGAGGGAGAATCACTTGAACCCAAAAGGCGGAGGTTGCAGTGAGCTGAGATTGTACCACTGCACTCCAGTCTGGGCAACAGAGCAAGACTTCATCTCAAAAAGTAAACAAATAAAATAAAAGAAAGCAGAGGGGAAAAAAGCAACATGCCATTGGATTTGGCCTGAGTTCCCGGATATGACACCAAAACCAAAGGTAACAAAAGAATAGGACTGCACCAAAATTGAAAACTTCTGTGCAAAACACACAATGAACAGAGTGAAAAGGCAATCTGTGGAATGGAGCTAAATATTTGTAAATCATATCTGACAAGGGGTTAATATAAAGATATATAAAGAAACTACAACCCAACAACAAACAAACCTGATTTTAAAATGGGCGAAGGACTTGAACAGATATTCCTCCAAAGAAGGTATGTGAACAGCCATTAAGCTCATAAAAAATGTCCAACATCACTAATCATTAGGGAAATGAAAAAAAAAATCAAATCCACAGTGACACATCATCTCACTCTGTTAGGATAGGATGAAACACACAAAAAAACAAGTGCTGTCAAGGATGTGAAGAAATTAGAGTCCCCAAACACTGGAAATGTATTATGGTGTGGCCATTATGAAAACCAATGTGGTGGGCCAGGCACCATGGCTCACTTTTGTGATCCCAGCACTTTGGGAGGCCGAGGTGGGCAGATCACCTGAGGTCAAGAGTTCAAGAACAGCCTGGCCAACATGGCAAAATCCCATCACTATTAAAAATACAAAATTAGTTTAGCACCAAGGATCACTATAACAAAACAAAACAAAATTAGGCCGGGCACTGTGGCTCACGCCTGTGTAATCCCAGCACTTTGGGAGGCCGAGGCAGGTGTATCATCGAAGATCAGGTGTTTGAGACCAGCCTGGCCAACATGGTGAAACCCTGTCTCTACTAAAAATACAAAAATTAGCTGGATGTAGTTGCAGGTGCCTGTAATCCCAGCTACTTGGAAAGCTGAGGCAGGAGAATCTCTTGAACCTGAGAGGCAGATTGCAGTGAGCCAAGATAGCACCATTGCACTCCAGTCTGGGCAACAGAGTGAGACTGTCTTAAAAAAAAAAAAAACCAGGCCAAGTGTGGTGGCTCATGCCTGTAATCCAAGCACTTTGTAGGACAAGGCTGGCGGATCACCTGAGGTTGGGAGTTCAAGACCAGCCTGACCAACATGGTGAAAACCCATCTTAAAAAAAAAAAAAAAAAAAAAAGGAAAGAAAGAAAAGCAAAACAGTATGGTGGTTTCTCAAAAATTAAATATTATTATATAATTCAGCAATTCCACTTTTAGGCAAATACCCAAAATAACTGAAAGCATGCACTTGAACCACAATTTGTACACCTATGTTAATAGCAGCGTATAGTTCACAGTAGCCGTGACTCAACATAAAAAGGTCCCAACATTTCTAAAAAGCAAATGTGCACATGTAACACTTGTAAAAAACATAAGTTTCTTTTTTTGAGACAGAGTTTCGCTCTTGTTACCCAGGCTAGAGTGCAATGGTGCCATCTCAGCTCACCACAACCTCCTCCTCCGGGTTCAGGCAATTCTCCTCCCTCAGCCTCCTGAGTAGCTGGGATTTTAGGCACGCGCCACCATGCCCAGCTAATTTTTCGTATTTTTAGTAGAGACGGGGTTTCACCATGTTGACCAGGAGTGGTCTTGATCTCTCGACCTTGTGATACACCCGCCTGAGCCTCGCAAAGTGCTGGGATTACAGGCATGAGCCACCATGCCCTGCCATATGTTTCTTAAAATAAAAACTGAGTACCTATAGTAAAAGCAGCAACCAAACTAACATGCTTTGTATGGCTATGGCCCCACAGTGAGGAGCAGGGCCTCTGGAGCCTGCCTACCTGTGTTTAACTTCTGGCTCCGAGGCTGACAGGCCACAGCATAGAGCTGACTGCCACTGCCCTCCTGGGCCACTCTCCTTGTGTCTGGCTGCTCTCCAGGCCCTGGGATAAAGGCCATTCCTACAGCATCTTCTTGGAGGACTTCACATTCTAATGGCATCACTTCTGGGCCCACTGTAGATAGAGCACCTTTGACTTAGGTTATTACTCATTAAACACAACTTATTAAGGTACGAGCCACCACTGGAACTAAAGAAGCCATCTCCTCTCAGCTAGAGCTCATCTAGAAGAAGAAATCCAGGATCCACATACGTTGCAAGTACACCTTCCCAGAGAACACGAGTGTTGGTTTCTTCCATATCCCAGGTTTGAAAAGCTGGGATATGGAAGAAATTATTTCTAAATTTCACAGAATATCAAATCTGTGAACTAAAGGGAAAAAATGCCCAGGCCATTTCTACAATTCTTCTGGTATAGCTCTTTTACTTTGAGAATGTTTTGTTTTCAGCATTTATCCTGTTAACATTTAACCATATAGGAAAGCAAAGGGAAGAGTATAATAAGGCTGAGGATCCTTTCACTGAAATTTAATATATAGCAGTACGTGGCCAATTTTTATCATCTTGACACCCCACCCTCATTATTTTCAAGTGAATCTCACACGTCATTCACCCAAAAATATGTCCATGTGTATCTCTAAAATATAAAGTCTTTTTAAATGCTGTCATGGGTTAAGATTTAAATACCTGAGCCTCTAGTAAAGTCCTATCCCCAATTCTACCATACAGCAATCATACACAATTACTCTGATGACATGAGCTGTCCCCAGCCTATAAACTTGCACTTTTAAAAGATGAAAGCCAGGCTGAGCAAAGTGGCTCATGCCTGTAATCCTAGCACTTTGCAAGGCTGAGGTGAGCAGACTGCTTCGAGCTCAGGAGTTTGAGATCAGCCTGGGAAACATAGCAAAACCTTGTCTCTACCAAAAAAAAACACACACACAAAATTAGCCAGGTGTGGTGATATGCCAGCTACTCAGGAGGCTGAGGTTGGAGAATAGCTTTGAATCCAGAAGGCAGAGGTTGCAGTGAGCTGAGATTGCCAACTCCATCTAGCCTCAGTGACAGAGTGAGACCCTGTCTCGAAAAGAAGGGAGGAAGGGAGGGAGGGAAGCCCAAATACCTATTAATACAAAGCACAAGTGCATCAAGTAGGGAGCCTTCTGCAAAAGAAACAGGCTTTGGTGGCTCACACCTGTAATCCCAGCACTTTGGGAGGCTGAGGCGGGTGGCTCACGAGGTCTGGAGATCTAGATCATCCTGGCATGGTGAAACCCCATCTCTACTAAAAAAAATACAAAAATTAGCTGGGCATGGTTGTGCATGCTGTAATCCCAGCTACTTGGGAGGCTAAGGCAGGAGAATCACTTGAACCAGGGAGTCAGAGGTTCCAGTGAGCTGAGATGGTGCCACTGCACTCCAGCCTGGTGACAGAGCAAGACTTTGTCTCAAAAAAAAAAGGAAAAAAAAAAACATGCTTTGGTCTCCACCAAAGAAACTCACCTTTGGAAGTTAAGACAAATCTCTAGTCCAGGTTCTGAATGATGAAGTGATGAACTCTGGAGCAGCAGTCATTAAACATAACCCTGAGATGCCCACCCTACACATACCCTAGACACAGGCCTGCCCCAGCCCCAGCCCCAGCCCCGCCCGAGATATACCCCTACCCTAGACACACCTTTTGATTGCTTTACCTAATGCAGCTTTTTAAATCCCATTCATTCGATGAGTGCCAAGTGAAAATAATTTTCTTTTTTTTTTTTTTTTTTTAATTTTTTATTTGATTATAGGTTTTGGGGTACATGAGCAGAGCATGCGAGACAGTTGCGTAGGTACACACATGGCAGTGTGCTTTGCTTTTCTTCTCCCCTTCACCCACATTTGGCATTTCTCCCCAGGCTATCCCTCCCCACCTCCCCCTCCCACTGGCCCTCCCCTTTTCCCCCCAATAGACCCCAGTGTTTAGTACTCCCCTTTCTGTGTCCATGTGTTCTCATTTTTCATCACCCACCTATGAGTGAGAATATGCGGTGTTTCATTTTCTGTTCTTGTGTCAGTTTGCTGAGGATGATGTTCTCCAGATTCATCCATGTCCCTACAAACGACACGAACTCATCATTTCTGATTGCTGCATAATATTCCATGGTGTATATGTGCCACATTTTTCCAATCCAGTCTATTATCAATGGGCATTTGGGTTGATTCCAGGTCTTTGCTATTGTAAACAGTGCTGCAATGAACATTCGTGTACATGTGTCCTTATAGTAGAACGATTTATAGTCTTTTGGATATATACCCAGTAATGGGATTGCTGGGTCAAATGGAATTTCTATTTCTAAGGCCTTGAGGAATCGCCACACTGTCTTCCACAATGGTTGAACTAATTTACACTCCCACCAACAGTGTAAAAGTGTTCCTTTTTCTCCACATCCTCTCCAGCATCTGTTGGCTCCAGATTTTTTAATGATCGCCATTCTAACTGGCGTGAGATGGTATCTCAATGTGGTTTCGATTTGCATCTCTCTGATGACCAGTGACGATGAGCATTTTTTCATATGATTGTTGGCCTCATATATGTCTTCTTTCGTAAAGTATCTGTTCATATCCTTTGCCCACTTTTGAATGGGCTTGTTTGTTTTTTTCCTGTAAATCTGCTTGAGTTCTTTGTAAATTCTGGATATCAGCCCTTTGTCAGATGGGTAGACTGCAAAAATTTTTTCCCATTCTGTTGGTTGCCGATCCACTCTAGTGACTGTTTCTTTTGCCGTGCAGAAGCTGTGGAGTTTCATTAGGTCCCATTTGTCTATTTTGGCTTTTGTTGCCAATGCTTTTGGTGTTTTGTTCATGAAGTCCTTGCCTACTCCTATGTCCTTGATAGTTTTGCCTAGATTTCCTTCTAGGGTTTTTATGGTGCCAGGTCTTATGTTTAAGTCTTTAATCCATCTGGAGTTAATTTTAGTGTAAGGTGTCAGGAAGGGGTCCAGTTTCTGCTTTCTGCACATGGCTAGCCAGTTTTCCCAGCACCATTTGTTAAACATGGAATCCTTTCCCCATTGCTTGTTTTTGTCAGGTTTATCAAAGATTGTATAGTTGTATGTATGTTGTGTTGCCTCCGGTGCCTCTGTTTTGTTCCATTGGTCTATATCTCTGTTTTGGTACCAGTACCATGCTGTTTTGATTACTGTAGCCTTGTAGTATAGTTTGAAATCCGGTAGTGTGATGCCCCCTGCTGTGTTCTTTTTGCTTAGAATTGACTTGGCTATGCGGGCTCTCTTTTGGTTCCATATGAAGTTCATGGTGGTTTTTTCCAGTTCTGTGAAGAAAGTCAATGGTAGCTTGATGGGGATAGCGTTGATTCTGTAAATTACTTTGGGCAGTATAGCCATTTTCACGATATTAATTCTTCCTAACCATGAACATGGAATGTTTCTCCATCTGTTTGTGTCCTCTCTGATTTCGTTGAGCAGTGGTTTGTAGTTCTCCTTGAAGAGGTCCCTTACGTTCCTTGTGAGTTGTATTCCAAGGTATTTTATTTTTTTTGTAGCAATTGCGAATGGCAGTTCGCTCTTGATTTGGCTTTCTTTAAGTCTGTTATTGGTGTAGACGAATGCTTGTGATTTTTGCACATTGATTTTATATCCTGAGACTTTGCTGAAGTTGTTTATCAGTTTCAGGAGTTTTTGGGCTGAGGCAATGGGGTCTTCTAGGTATACTATCATGTCGTCTGCAAATAGAGACAATTTGGCTTCCACCTTTCCTATTTGAATACCCTTTATTTCTTTTTCTTGCCTGATTGCTCTGGCTAGAACTTCCAGTACTATATTGAATAGGAGTGGTGAGAGAGGGCATCCTTGTCTAGTGCCAGATTTCAAAGGGAATGCTTCCAGTTTTTGCCCATTCAGTATGATACTGGCTGTTGGTTTGTCATAAATAGCTTTTATTACTTTGAGATACGTTCCATCGATACCGAGTTTATTGAGGGCTTTTAGCATAAAGGGCTGTTGAATTTTGTCAAATGCCTTCTCTGCGTCAATTGAGATAATCATGTGGTTTTTGTTTTTGGTTCTGTTTATGTGGTGAATTACGTTGATAGACTTGTGTATGTTGAACCAGCCATGCATCCCCGGGATGAATCCTACTTGATCATGATGAATAAGTTTTTTGATTTGCTGTTGCAATCGGCTTGCCAATATTTTATTGAAGATTTTTGCATCTATGTTCATCATGGATATTGGCCTGAAGTTTTCTTTTCTCGTTGGGTCTCTGCCGGGTTTTGGTATCAGGATGATGTTGGTCTCATAAAATGATTTGGGAAGGATTCCCTGTTTTTGGATTGTTTGAAATAGTTTTAGAAGGAATGGTACCAGCTCCTCCTTGTGTGTCTGGTAGAATTCGGCTGTGAACCCATCTGGACCTGGGCTTTTTTTGTGAGGTAGGCTCTTAATTGCTGCCTCGACTTCAGACCTTGTTATTGGTCTATTCATAGTTTCAGCTTCCTCCTGGTTTAGGCTTGGGAGGACACAGGAGTCCAGGAATTTATCAATTTCTTCCAGGTTTACTAGTTTATGCGCATATAGTTGTTTGTAATATTCTCTGATGATGGTTTGAATTTCTGTGGAATCTGTGGTGATTTTCCCTTTATCATTTTTTATTGCATCTATTTGGTTGTTCTCTCTCTTTTTTTTAATCAATCTGGCTAGTGGTCTGTCTATTTTGTTGATCTTTTCAAAAAACCAGCTCTTGGATTTATTGATTTTTTGAAGGGTTTTTCGTGTCTCAATCTCCTTCAGCTCAGCTCTGATCTTAGTAATTTCTTGTCTTCTGCTGGGTTTTGAGTTTTTTTGATCTTGCTCCTCTAGCTCTTTCAATTTTGACGATAGGGTGTCAATTTTGGATCTCTCCATTCTCCTCATATGGGCACTTATTGCTATATACTTTCCTCTAGAGACTGCTTTAAATGTGTCCCAGAGGTTCTGGCACGTTGTGTCTTCGTTCTCACTGGTTTCGAAGAACTTCTTTATTTCTGCCTTCATTTCGTTGTTTACCCAGTCAACATTCAAGAGCCAGTTGTTCAGTTTCCATGAAGCTGTGCGGTTCTGAGTCGGTTTCTGAATTCTGAGTTCTAACTTGATTGCACTATGGTCTGAGAGGCTGTTTGTTATGATTTCAGTTGTTTTGCATTTGTTGAGCAGTGCTTTACTTCCAATTATGTGGTCAATTTTAGAGTAGGTGTGATGTGGTGCTGAGAAGAATGTGTATTCTGTGGATTTGGGGTGGAGAGTT